TAAAAGAGTGATGTTTTTGTAGTAAAAACATAAATATTGAATTTAATTACAAACCACATATCATTTCCAAACTCAACTATGATTATTTTTAGAAATTCATTTCAAAATGTACAATTATTTGATGCATGATTTTCAATTCAACAGAAAACGCAATATCTTACCGATGTCAATCCGATATACAAAAAAGTTGCATTGATAGGTCATGTAGGCCCGACGCAGACCCGGTATATCTTTTTTGATGTAACACGAAATGTGGTTAATGTGATTCTAGTAATTGAAATCATATACAGGACAATTAATTCACATCATTAGGTAAAAAATGCCATTGCAATTAGAGTTTTTCAAAAAACTCAATATGTCGGCACTGCAGCGGCCCGACGTCGGCCAATAGTCGGCGTATTTTGCCGACATGCCGACATTAATCCTATATCGGCCCGATGTGGTCATGCTGGCTGGGATCACCGTTAACTCTTGTGAACAAATGTCTCAAATGAATCAATTTACAATAGCTCCACCACATGCATCATTCTGACGTAGAACATCATGTGTTTTATATCCATTGGTCCGTTCTTCAACATGTGCAACCAAACCATTTGGATTTACCTGCGTATTGTAAAGTGACAAGATTACTTAATGCTCGACCACGCAAAACATTCTTAGATTTGTAATAATTTTAACCAAAAAAAAAAAAATTAAATAAAAAAATAAAAACTAGGATTGTGTCCATAGGACACGGGTGCCCCACCGCGCCACTGTTCTGTCAATCTTATGACTCTAGGTCAAATATTTTTTGAAAACTAAAAATCTTTTACTAAGTAAAGGGCAAGAACTTTACAAATACTGAATAAATCCACAAGCAAACCTCAAGGTGCATAAGTACACATGCTGACTAACATTCTTGTAAACTTTCAGGCCTACAAGTGAAATACTTTTTGAGCTATGCATAAACAAATTGAAAAAAAATCCAGACGAAAATACCCAGGTGCACAAGTACATATGCTGATCAATATTCCTGTAAAGTTTCATGACTCTATGTCAAATCCTTTTTGAGTTACGTGCGAAAATTTGAAAATTGCAAAATTTTACTAAGTCAAAGGCAATAACTCTAAAAAAACTAAAAATATCCAGACGAAAATACCCAGGTGCACAACAACATAATTATGCTTATCAACATTCCTGTAAATTTTCATGACTCTAGGTCAAATACTTTTTGAGTAACATGCGACACAAGTTGAAAATTGCAAAATTTTACTAAGTCAAGGGCAATAACTCTAAAAATACTAAATATATCCAGACAAAAATACCCAGATGCACAACTACACATGCTGATAAATATTCCTGTAAAGTTTCATGACTCTAGGTCAAATACTTTTTGAGTTACAAGCGACACAAGTTGAAAATTGCAAAATTTTACTAAGTCAAGGGCAATGACTCTAAAACTACTAAAAATATCCAGACAAAAATACCCAGATGCACAACTACACATGCTGATAAATATTCCTGTAAAGTTTCATGACTCTGGGTCAAATACTTTTTGAGTTACAAGCGACACAAGTTGAAATTGCAAAATTTACCTAAGTCAAGGGCAATAACTCTAAAACTACTAACAATATCCAGACGAAAATACCCAGGTGCACAACTACACATGCTGATCAACATTCCTGTAAAGTTTCATGACTCTAGGTCAAATACTTTTTGAGTTTTTTAGTTACGTGCGACACAATAGAGAACTGACGGACGGACGGACAAGGGTAAATCTAAATGCCCGCCACTGAAGTGGGGGCACAAAAATGAAAATCGGCATTTTCTTCATCCAGCCAAAACACTTTATCTATCATTATTAACACGGACTAATAGTCCAAGTCCTTTTCTCATCAAATTATGTGTATACCAAGCTAATACCTTATCCCGCTTACTCGCGCAAAACAGGCGTCCTTTATGGCGTATCCAAAAGATTTAATAAAATTTAATCTTACACATATGAACACGTTCTCCCTATCAGGTATGTTCTGAAAACGAACCAAATTAGTAGACTTTCTACCTTTGCCATTTTCTAATATCTGTTTTTCAATGGCCTAGTAAGTCCGTGTAATCATGTTCGTTTGTAGACACAGTTAAATCCATACTTGCATTACTTGACACACGCCTATTTAATCGTTGTGTTTGATCTTATGCGTTAAACTTCCAGATTCAAGGCTAGGCCCTGGTTGAATCTCATTTTTAAAATGGGTATGCCACACAAGAAAACAGCCTTACACCCTTTGACACGTAGAGTCTCACTTTCAATCCCTGCATATGTATATTTGATCTACATGACGTAGAGTCTCACTTTCAATCCCTGCATATGTATATTCGATCTACATGACACAAAACGACCGTTTTTGCATCCTTTAAATGTAGATAAATATTTCATGCTGAATTACTGTATAAGTGGATATTTATGCGTCACAATAAATTTGCGAAGGTCTAAAAGGCGACTTTTTGAATGTGGATATATCTTCGAAAATATGATTTCTTGAATTTAATACTGTTTTTGTGGCATCATTTACTATGCAGGTACATGTTTGGAATATGCCGTTATTGTACTCGTTCTATTTATTTGTTTAATAACTTTATTATTTATATAACTGTTTGAAATATTCTTTGTTTGTTTGTTAAAGGAGCTGATTACACATATCTTTGTCATATTTAGAAACATTTCGTTGTTATATGAATAACCTGTTGTCTTATTAACACACATATTGTTTCATTAAAACATTTGATATTTGTTAAGACCAAACTTAAACAAACATGAAATTAGAAAAATCAATCTCATTTCCTGCACAATTAAACTTGTTCATGTAAGATGCTGTATGAAATCGTGTTTTCAAAAGATAGAAGACAGTTTGCCTAAAAAGAAATCACTTTTGCATGATGAAATATTTGCTAATAATTTCAAATTGCAAAAATCGCAAATATTTCCACGTCGCAATATTAACAACTTACACAGTATTACTTTATTGTTACCTTAAAAAATCACCGCTATTTTTTAAGGGGAGCAATTCCTTTGAAATGTGCAGGCATATAAAGCATAGCAATGGGTACTTTACGTCCCTTTCAATGGTGTCATTTTCTTTCAAAAACACTGATATAAGAAAATTGATATAGAAAAAATGGAGAATTTATCATATCGAGAGGTCTAATGTTACATAATGGCAATATTAATAATTATACACGCGTACTGTTTAATGTTCAGCTTTACATTTAACATTAACAGTCTTGTATTCCCTTAGTCTCTTTGCTAAAATAATGGCAATATTAAAACAAATGACCGTATGATCCCCTGTTTAAAATCAGAAGTCATTTACTTGTAAATCAGTCCAATTGAACATGGATTTCCTTTTTATTTCAAATATTCCTTTTATTTTTATGAATTCAGAAAAGACCACATAAAAAGAATGCATTATTCTTAAAAAAAAAAACCCACGAAAAACACAAAAAACAACAACAAAAACAACACACACAAAACAAATTATAAAAAACAACAACAAAAGAAAAAAAAAACAAACAAAAAAAAAACAAATAAAAACATCTGCTCTCAATTGTCATGAAAAATGCAAGTGTAAGCTGATTCTCTTTTTAACAGGTTAAGAAAATGTCACATATTTCAAATCAAAAATGAAATGCATTTCTAATCAAATAGTGAACAGGTTTTCAAAGATTAAAATTTATATCTTTGTTCCCTTTTTTGGAAAATGTACCTAAACAAATAATTTTGTCAAAAAAAGGACATATCTAATAAAAAAACATTATTAAGTTACCTGATCTTTTGATGTTCATTCCAATTAAAAAATGATAAGCAAATTTTTCAAGTTTGAAGTTATACACTTTTACCGTTTTTTAGAAAGTGACCTTGGACCCTAAGCAAATAAAATAAAGGAAAATTAATCTATACAATGAATGTGTAGGCTTTTTTTATTGTCAACATGTTCATACATATTAAGTTGTTGGCTTTCGAAAGTATCTGAAAACCAGGGCTAAAGTCTTCCTTAAAAGGGGGCTTGACTTTGTATAAACATTATTTAAGGATAATCTGCCATTTTCAAATTGTGTAATTTTATAAATGTAATCGTTTCATAATAGGGTAAAGTTGAAATATTAGTACATGCATTCTGTTTTTGATATTAAAAGTTCATTTCATTTGTGCTTGCAAATGATTTTTTTAAAACAACTTTTTATATCTTATATATCTTTCTTCCACAGAATCAAAATTGAAGGATGCCGCAATGTCAGACGGATGGAGGGTTTGGAAATGGAAAAAGAAATTGTAAGTAAACATTTGTTTTATATATACTAAATTAAATATTGTTTCATATATTAAAAAAACTGGAAAAGAGATTATTGATAAGTAATTGACGGGTAAACACATATACGAAAAATGTTTTGTTAAAGAAACACCCGAGTTTTTTATATCATTTAAGAGTAATTGCCCTTTGTATTATTTCATATTTATTGTGTTCCAATACAATAAAAATATAGGATGTATCAACTTTATTCTTAATATATTAATAAAACTAATTAAGCTAAAGAAAAATGTTAAACGCCTGAATACAAAGCGGCCATCAATACCTCTACACTAAAGCCTGCATAAATACAAAATCTTGTTGTTTGTTTCAAACAGTATCATGTAACTGAAACCTCAAGGTATTCATCCATTATCGCTCTAGTTTTCCTATTCTATCAAACTTTTACAGTAAGTAAAATATTTATTACTTTGATTTTTTTTCTTTTGTGCTAACTTAACCTGTATAATGTTTGTAATCAAAGCTGGAAGTTATTTGACAAGCCGGAGGCATCAGAGCCGAGTATTCATAAATATAAAAATGAACTAGATAAAAATGGACTGACCGGTTTGAAAGATCTTTTAAGTAAAGACGTAGAAAGCTGGAAAAGTACCATGGTACACATAGCCGTCACAGGGCAGTCCGGAACAGGAAAGTCATCTTTTATTAATTCAATTAGAGGCTTGAAACCTGGAAATAAGGGTGCTGCTCTAGTTGGTGCTAACGAAACCACATTCACATGCAATCGATACGAACACCCAGCAAATAAAAGTTTTGTTGTTTGGGACCTTCCTGGAGTAGGAACACCAAATTTCCCAAAAGAAAAATATCTGGATATGGTCCGTATTAATCGATACGATTTTTTCATCATTATAAGCAAAGACAGATTTACAGAACTTGACTTGTGGCTTGCACAGAAAATACGTGAACAAAAAAAATCGTGTTTCTTTGTTCGATCAAATATTGATGTCACTATCGAAAATAATGCTCGGGATTTTAGTAAAACGCATAATGAAAAAGATCTTCTGGAAAAAATTCGAGAAAACATATCAAATGAGTTTCAAAGAAAAGGGATAAGCGATCAAAAAATTTTCCTTATTAGTAACCGTGCATTGAATAAATATGACTTTGGGAACCTCAACAACGAATTACTGTCATTATCAGATGGTTTGCAGAAAGAAACCTTGGCATTGTCATTATCTGCAGTTACCAGAGAAGTAATGGAAGAAAAGGAAAAGGTACTCACAGGTAGAATGCCTAAAATTGCTTTATCGATTGCATCAGCGTCAACAAAATCTGAACAGAAAGAGTTATTTAAAAAGGAAATAAACTTTTACAGGAAACAATTTAATATCGATGAAGAAACACTTTCTGAAAATAGGGAAATTTTGTTTCTCACTGATGATCACTTGGAAAGTTTCAAAGTTGTGTTTGATGAGCACAAGCAAAAGAGCAGAAGGACGATGAAAACACCGACAGCCTCAATGAGTGAAATGCCTACATTAGTACGCATTATTGATTCATTCATTTGGTCTAAAGAGAACACAATGCTGTATATATTTTCCGAAACGGCTTTAAAAATGAATCTTGAGTCGCTTTACAATACGGCAAAAACATTCTACGATGCAGCAAAATTCAATTATTTGGTCAAAAAGACTTCAACGTAATGGCCTGAATAAATATAATTCTCTACGTTTGAAGTATGAATTAGTAGATAATTATTTTCCCTTGTATATTAATAAGTCTCCGCTAGAGGGAGCATGATTTTGCACGAGATTTTAAGCTTGACGGGTTATAGTAGTCATTCAGCGTTGAGAGAGCCTACCAATAAACACGTAAATTAAGTTTCAAAATTAGTTATTTCCAACTCATTTTGATTATGAAAAATAGCATGTATATTTTGGAATAGTTGTAAATTAAATATTTTGAACCAGTATCATGTGATTAAATACTTCAAACATTTTGAGATTATGAATTATATGTTTAAATATATGATGTGTCATCGTGATATGTAAATGTGAAATGTATGTTATAAGGGAATGTATATTAACGGCAAACACGAAACTTCTCGAACATATTTTCAACACTTAATGTAAACTTAAAAATGGCAATTTATATATTCATGTACACAATCCATGCAAATGATATAACATATGTTTCTTAGTAAAACAATCCATGTTAAAACAAAGAGGGTGTCGTCATTTTCAGTAATATGTTACGAATGATAAAGAGTATACCAGTAGTATTATGATTAATAAATACTATTTTCATTTCTTGAATCTTGATCAATCATGTTATTTTCTTTGGTAAATAATTAAATTTTACACTTACAGAAAACTATATAACCAAACACTTGCGCATGCTTAATATAGTTTTTGTTTTGTTTATTTAATAATATACACGGTTTTGTATGATAAGATTGCACTGACTGGCATAGTACATGTAAAAATGCAACAGGCTAAAATGCTGAGAGAGAAAACAAATCGTAATTTCATAAAAATGAGAGTAGAATCACAAATCATTTGTAAATGTAAAAGAGTGCAACGTGATTTTGTTGGTATGAATTAAACCTATAGCATTTCGACCCGCCGAAATTGTTAAAATTTTAATTATAATGACTTGGAAAAAACAGTACATTAGTGTTTTTTTTAAAATGCTTCTTGAATTTTTTACAAATTTAAAGAGAAAATATTGGTAGCCCTTTATTTTTGTTTAGTGACAATCTCTCTTCGAGAACATCTAAAATTAATGATTTTTAAAAGGCTGCCGAATTGCACTTAAGCGTTTGTGAAATAAATGGGATTAGAATAAAAGAAACCTTTAAGAAAATTTACGACAGAAGACAAAGAGTGTATTACTACATATGTTTCATGTTTAGATCTGGCCGATTTCCCATAGTGGCTTATATACATGTATATTGTAAATAAAATTTGCAAGTTTGATAAACAAGAGATAACCGCTATCCTTTTTTAAAGAATAACCTTTAATTTGTTTTGTCAAAATGACGAGCAGTTTCCAACAACAATATTTTAAGTTTCTAAATTTGTATCTTTATTTATTGCTACTATTCCGATTGAATGACATTCTTTTAAACACGATAAATTGCATGAGTCAAAGTAGAAGATGCTTGTACATACACTATTGGTTTATTAAATAATCATAAGATATCCTGAAAAATATTTTTTGTTGATAATACAGACAATTGTTTGTTAACTACAGGTAGCAGATATGAAGGTTTAAACATGTTAAGTTCTTTTATTTTGTTATCATTAATATTGTATGCTGTTATATCTGAGAGAGTGTAAATTAGTTAATTAAGAGCACACTTAGAAATACACGATCATATGTTTTCATTATGCAAACTTCTGCAATAAACTGATTGTTGGTTCACCTTTTCATCATTTGTATGTTTTAGTTAATGAGGATTTGTTCCCAAGTTTTGTCAATGTTATTAACATACCGAACGATGAACATTTATATACATTATTATTATTTTGCATAATTGTACATGTTTTTTTTTTGCCTTATTGACAGGATATAGTATTCATGTGCCACATAATTTTTTTATAATTCAGATTTTACATAATTATATTGTACATGCATACAGTATCAAGACGGTGTATCGAAATGAAAAAAGAGGTTTTCAGTTTTGTAACTGATATATATAGTCCAACTATTCAAAGTTTGAGATTATATGGCTTATTTAAATGCCTATTGCAACATACCAAAAAGAGAATATTAAATAAATAAAACAATGTATACTCTGAAATTGGTTATTTATAACATATTTAAGCAGCAGGCCTCCAGAAGATTACAGAAAAGCTACCGTCTTACAAACATTTCAAAATATCTCCTCACAAACATTATAAAGTTGAAATAAATGAAATTAACAATTAAAATGTTTATATTTTCACATTTATATTCTGAAAATAATCAGTTCGCTTTTCGCCAATGGAGAATTACTTCTCTTATTATACTTTGAAATTCTTTCATCCTTTTTTCTAATACCACGTGACTGTACAGGGCATTATCGCGACCTGTGATCAGGAACGTACGGAATCAGGGATCGTATCAAACATAGATGGAAAAGAAAAAACTGCTTTAGTTTAAATATTTGTTGTTATTTTGGCACTAATATTGAAATTGATTTATTGTATAATATATTTATGTGATGACTAATTATCGAATTAAACTTAAGCTTGAAATATGATAAGTGCCTACCTATATACGACCCGAACCACAGTTGTGACACGTGACCATGTTGAATGAATTATCTTCTCCCCTTTATATTTGCTACTATGTTAGTAACGTAGTAGATTACACAAGGAAGAAACACGGTTTATTGACGTCTGTGTTAAATAAAGATGCCAGCAATAATAGATTTATACATTACATATAGTAACTAGATCACTTTTTACCTTTTATTTCTTCTCATTTTACCTTCTGGAGGCCAGCGGCTTTAAGAATGTACATTCTAAATGAGTGATAATTTAATATCAAATTATATAAAACATATAACTAACTCTTGATTAATATTGTATATACTAAAATTGGAAAGTGTTTTATATTTATCCAGTAAATGAAATCGTTGCTTAAAGTTTTGCATCTTTCAAGTGTTTCGGCTCAACTTGAATCTTTAAAACACTGTTTTGTTTTTTACTTTCTGATACCAACTGATAAAAGATAGAAGCAAATCCTATTTTGTTACAAGTAAACAAAATTAACTAGTTAAAGAGCTTAAAGAACGCCCTTAAACAAATTTGTTTTTTTTTGTTGTTGTTTTTCTCTCAATGTTTTTATTATTTTTGATTATTGACTTTTCGAAACATAGAAGCGTATCTTTTTATTTACAGTTGCCGTTTGAACTATTTTACTCTTAATGCGTTCAATCTTGTTGTCGCAGGACAAATATCAAATATGGCTTAAACATATATCAATGCTTTTATTTGTTTATTTGTTTTTGTCATTTTTGTTGAATATATATTTGTTTTGATTTTGTTTAATCTATAGAGTTGAACCTAAATAATAAACAATGTAATTCATAAAAAAGGCATCTAGAATTATGATGATGTTTCATGCGAACATATGTTTTAAAAACATGTTTAAATAAAATGGAAAAATATTTGGAATGGCTGATAATTGATAAGTTGTTGTAATATGCTAATTCAAACTGTCAAGATAATAATGTTAAATATTGTAAGATAAGTTAAGAAAAGATGGTATGATATTTCATCGTTTATATTTTATATTTGCTAGGAAAAAATAAGTGTACGCATTTTAAAAGATACGTATATTTTACTCCGAATTTTCTGCACATATTTATATAAATATTTTTATGAGCACATAATAGACAAATAAATAGATTTTGTTTTGGAAAAAACAATGAAAAAGTTACTTCTTACATCAATCAATTTTAAAGAAATGCACTTTTTTTCTCGTAGTATTTCAATCATAGTTCCTATCAAATGAATCATTTCTAAATGCTTTGGACGAACACTATCTTTATCTTTATTTATTATTGTACATTATTTTCAAACATTCACTTTCAGTCGGTGATAGTGGAAGTGGTCACATAATCAACATTTAACTATAAAAATGCATTGATTAATACATTATGTATGGTATTTTTTGTTTGATTTCTTACAATTAACCGGTTTATATTTCTATACTATATTATTATGTATTATTAAGTTATGACTATAGAGAATTTATTATTCTCTTATGAAATTGTTTGTTAAGACAAATTTAAATTTAATGTTTGTTTTACAAGTATTTGACTTTTGTTCACACAACTCTGAAATAAAACCACGAAACAAGTTTGTGACTTATTCTAGACACTTGTCTTTGCTATAAATTTCCAAAACGCCGCTTTGATATTCAGGAATAGGTTTGGTTCAAAACCATTCTAATTTAGAAAACTATTTTTTTAACAGAAACATTCATCAAACTTAATCAGTTGTGGCGAATCTCAAATATAAGAAAAAATATTTTTCTTTTACATTCTCAGATTAGCAAGAGTCAAATACATTTCTAAATTTCTATTTGTATCATTATTTAGTTAGACATTTTATTCAAAATTGTATTTGTTGTGGTGTGAGTGTAATAAAAAACATATGTAAAAGCAAAAAAGTTTTTGTACTTAATTTAGTCATTGAGGGCATATTAAAAATGATTATACCTGAAGGTGAATCAAATATCTGGCCTTCACTAATATACCTTTAAAAAGGCAGCTCCTCTGGTAAAATATTCATGAACAGTATTCTAAAATTAATCAGTAAAAAAATAGATATTCATATCAATATGTTAAGGGGCTATGAGTATTGACCTCATAATATGTTTATTCACCACTTTAAGCAAGCCGAAATTTAAAGAATAAATTTGTACTTTAAGCAATCCTAACCTTCAAACATTATCCATGCAATATAGTATACAGGTCTACGAAAGTCCATTGGTTACATTATAACTTTTGAATTCTCGGGTTTATCTTCAGAATTCGCATTTTAAACTTAATGAATGTACAATTTTAAACATATATAAATCATGAATTCACGATTTCAGCTTCAAGAATTCAAGAGTTCAACTTCTTGAATTCACGATTTTAATTACAAGAATTTACGATTTCCACTTCACGAATTCCAGATCCCCCACTTCACGATTGCAACGTCAT